GCGCAGGCTCAGCGGCCATGGCTCACGGGCTCAGCCGCTCTGCAGCATGTGGGATCTTCCCGGACCGGGGCACGACCCCGTGTCCCCCGCATCGGCAGGCAGACTCCCAACCACTGCGCCACCAGGGAAGCCCTGTAAACATATACTCTTAAAAGCACTGAAGAATGGACAAGACTGCAGACTTACCAGGCAAAAACTGAAAGGAGGATGGGAACCTAAGAAGTAAAGAAGGGCTTCCCTGGTGGCGCAGTGGTTAAGGATCCACCTGCCAGTGCAGGGGACACGGGTTCGAGCCCTGGTCTGGGAAGATCCCACATGCCGTGGAGCAGCTAAGCCCGTGTGCCACAACTACTGAAGCCCGGGTACCTAGAGCCCGTGCTCGGCAACAAGAGAAGCCACCACAGTGAGAAACCCGCACACTGCAATGAAGAGTGGCCCCCGCTTGCTGCAACTAGAGAAAGCCCACGCACAGCAACGAAGACCCAACCCAGCCAAAAATAAATAAATTAAATAATTAATTAATTAAAAAACAAATATATGTTTACATATATATATAAACTTGATTAAAAATATATAAGAAAATAGAAGAACATATAGAATATGTTGCTATATCGAGATATATAATTGTAAGTGTAAAACTGGTGTTAGTATATTCTTAGTATATTCATTTTTATCAAGCTTTTCCAAGTTGTTTCCAACGGGAAAGTTGGTCTGAATAACCTAGCCCAGTGTTACTAAAAATGGGGACTCACCCATTATTTACTGTTTGCTTCTGCAGTTTTCAGTTGATTTGAAGTTCTGAAATGTTGCTCTGCCTGATGTCTGTGTCTCTAAAATGCTGGGATTCCAGGTTCTAGGGTTCTCACACTTTGGGATTCCAGGGGACTGGGACGTTAGGTTTCCTAGTTCTGAGGTTTCGAGGGTCCCCTGCAGCCCTGTGGCCGCCAGACTCCAGGGAGTCAGTGCCAGGCATCTGGGGTCTACCCCCGGGCGTGGCCTTTGGGGGCATCTTGTCTTCTCAGCAGCCCTACAACTGCCTTCTCAGGGACCCTCCATACTCGATCAGCCCCCGGGTCAGGCCGCAGCAGGCGCTGAGTCAGAAGGTCAAGCAGATCCACGTTGGAAAGAAAAGGCATGGAGACTCACCGCCTGCCCTGCTTGCCTCCTCAGGATCTTCATCATCTGGGCCATCAGCAGCTGGTTCCGCCGCGGGCCGGCCCCTCAGGACCAGGCAGGCCCCGGAGGAGCCCCACGCGTCGCCAGCCGCAACCTGTTCCCCAAAGACACTTTAATGGTAACCACTGGCTGGGAGGCCAGACCCGGGAGAGGAGGGGGCGAAGGTGTAGGGGAGTGGCATGGGCTGCTGGGACAGACGCGATCCCTGGTCACTGTCAGGTCTGTGAACGGGTCCAGGGTTGAGAGACTCCAGGTGCATCTTCAGCCCATGAAATCTGAGTCACTCAGGTGACACTTACAAGGAACAAGTAATTCTTTTGGGTTTGTGGTGGTGGTCTTTCTGCGTAGAAGGACTTTGTTCAGGAGCATCTGCAACAGGTGTTCTAACCTCAGTAATCTCGACTTCTCCCACCTTTGCGGTTCTCTGCAGCTCTGGGATTCCTGATTTCATGGAATTCTGGCCAGCAGGGCGACCACCACTCAGCTGTTCTTTATCAGTGGGCCTTCTGGGCTCTGGACAAGGATGGCCACGGGGACTTGGGAAAGGAGGGAGTTCTCTGAGGCCAGCTCCCCCGTTCCCCTCGGTTCTCAGTAGCCGGCTGACACTCCTGCACATCTTGACTGTGCTTTATCCATAAGCCTGCGGCGCTCTGACCAAGAAGCCCATGAGAGGCTGAGAGGGGAGATGATTCAGGGAGGTCCGGATCCTCTCTAACCCCAGATTCTAATTGGCAGGCTGGCCATTGTTTAATTGTTTTTTGCTCTTAGACATCACAGACTCAGACCAGGATAGACGTGGTGGGGGTATGAGGAAAGTTTATTCTACTTGCTGCTGCTCTTCTCTCCACTAACTACCCCCGCTCCCACCCCCCCCCCCCGATCCCTGGTCACTGTCAGGTCTGTGAACGGGTCCAGGGTTGAGAGACTCCAGGTGCATCTTCAGCCCATGAAATCTGAGTCACTCAGGTGACACTTACAAGGAACAAGTAATTCTTTTGGGTTTGTGGTGGTGGTCTTTCTGCGTAGAAGGACTTTGTTCAGGAGCATCTGCAACAGGTGTTCTAACCTCAGTAATCTCGACTTCTCCCACCTTTGCGGTTCTCTGCAGCTCTGGGATTCCTGATTTCATGGAATTCTGGCCAGCAGGGCGACCACCACTCAGCTGTTCTTTATCAGTGGGCCTTCTGGGCTCTGGACAAGGATGGCCACGGGGACTTGGGAAAGGAGGGAGTTCTCTGAGGCCAGCTCCCCCGTTCCCCTCGGTTCTCAGTAGCCGGCTGACACTCCTGCACATCTTGACTGTGCTTTATCCATAAGCCTGCGGCGCTCTGACCAAGAAGCCCATGAGAGGCTGAGAGGGGAGATGATTCAGGGAGGTCCGGATCCTCTCTAACCCCAGATTCTAATTGGCAGGCTGGCCATTGTTTAATTGTTTTTTGCTCTTAGACATCACAGACTCAGACCAGGATAGACGTGGTGGGGGTATGAGGAAAGTTTTTTCTCCTTGCTGCTGCTCTTCTCTCCACTAACCACCCCCGCTCCCCCCCCCCCCCCCGCACAAATTGTTCATATTAGTGGGCTATTGCTGCCACAGCTCTTCATCTGCTCTTTATCTGTCAACCTTCAGAGGGTCCTATAAGCAGCCCTAACTAAGCTCCCCCCGCTTCCCCTCCCAACAGAACCTGCACGTGTACATCTCAGAGCACGAGCACTTTACAGACTTTAATGCCACATCAGCGCTCTTCTGGGAGCAGCATGACCTTGTGTATGGCGACTGGACGAGTGGCGAGAACTCAGACGGCTGCTACGAGCACTTTGCTGAGCTCGACATTCCACAGGTGGGGACAGCTTCTGGTTTCTGGCCCCAAGGCTGCTCGGCTAGCACCAAGGGCATTTCCTTGAACCAGCTCCCAGTCCTGCAATCGGGAGTCCAGGTTCCAAGCCTGGCTCTACTCTCAGTTCACATGCTTTGTGACTACAGGCAGGTCCCTGAGGTCTCTGGGCCTTGTCTTCCCGACCTCTCCATTTGGATGGAGTTGGAATTGGCGTAGGATCCTCCCAGCTACTTTCAGGGTTGTGTAAATCTGTGGTATAAACCAGTGAAAGATTAGTAATCATCCCTGGGGGTGGCCAGTCAGCCAGCCTGGTTTGAAAATAATAGTTAATGTTGATTGAGTGCTTACTACGTACAGGGCACCAGCCTGGGCTGACTGGTGGAAACCTCCCAGCAACCCTAGGAAGTGGGAACTGTTATTTCCATTTGACTGATGAGGAAACTGAGGTACAGAGAAGCCCCACCCAAGGTCACACAGCCAGTGTTAACTGAACTGAACCCAGGCTGTCTGGCTCTGGACTCTGGCAACCCCAGTTCAAATCCTGCCTCCTCCAGGGAGCTCTCCCTGACACTCAGGCTCAGCCAGCACCCTGTCTGGGCTCCCCAACGCAAGCCGTGCCAGCTCTGGGGGGTTGTTACTACCTGAATATGGATCTGTTTTCCCCATGGGACCATCTTGGTCACAGCTCTGTCCCCAGCTCTTCCCAGCAGAGGACTGGGTGCAGAATCAGTGGCTGTTGAATAATCAGTGAATTTGATGAATCTGTGAATGTTGACATCTCTTTGGGGCTGCTCTCTCATTCCTTTCTCCCCATCAAGTCTTCTTCTCAGCCTCCTGGGGAGGAGGGAGCATCTCTGCTCTGTCTGGCTCTGTCTGGGTCTCTTTGGGTAGCTGGAAGCAGTGGCTGGATGCATTCTTTCTGAGGCAGATAGGATAGCCCGTGCTGAGAGGTGGCTCCCACTGAGACTTCACGTCCAGCCCCCAGATCCCAACCCCAGATCTGAGGAAGACTGAGGGGCAGTAAGCCAGGCAGTGAGAGAAGCTTCCAAGGACTTGGTGCTAACCCTCCTTCCCATCTCTGTGGTGGGAGAGTGTCTAAGTTGTACTTGATTTTAATTTATGGAGGTGACTGAGCAGCGACACAGGCCAAGGCCATTGGAAGAAGAATTTACTACTTACATTTCCCAAGAGGAGGGGGCCCACCACACTACGGAGGGCCACATGGGGAAGCACCAGGTTTGGACAGGAGCGGAAGGGGCAAGGGGAGGCCTAGGCCGAAGCCTTTATTGAGGTTTCCGCAGGAAAGGCAGGGCAGGTGGGGAAACACCTTAGGACTGGCCTGCTTGCCAGTCCCTAAGGGGGTGGCTGGGGTGTGGACTGGGGTTTGTTGGTCTGCATTTTAAAGGTATGTTCAAAGTTAGGCGAGTTGTTTATTATTTCCAGGGATCAGCTAGCCCTGGGAGGGGCGGTCTCTTCCCTGCCAGATGTGAAAACAGCATGAAATATAAAAACATGGTTGACACAGAGGTGGACTTAAAAGGCAGGGAAGTGAGGACACAGCGTGGCCAGGTGAATCCCAGCTTACCACGAAGGTCAGACAGGCTGCAGTGCGGCCTCGGCCACCCACCCTGCGCCTCAGGCAGGTGGCCACCCCACTTCAGTTTCCTCGTCTGGGTGGGTGTGGCAGGGGGGTGAGAATAGTAGGTGAAAGGCCCGGGCAGAGAGGTAGGACACAGACGGTGAGAGGCAGGGCCACGGAGAGCCCACAGACTGGGTTCGGATCCACTTACTCGCTGCATGTAGCCTCTCTGTGTGAGCCCCAGTCACCACATCTGGAAAATGGGGGTAATAACATGACCCAGTGCCCAAGGTTTACGTGAGTTATACGGATGTGAACTCACTGGATTGGGCAGTTACCATTTGAAGTGCCAGAGTGGTATCCGGCCTTCGTTGTTTTACCGTTTAATGAATTAAGGCTGCTGACGTTTATTGAGCTCCTATTCTGTGCTTGAGTGACCGTGCTCAGCACTCTCAGGTAATCCTTACAGCCCTGCTGTGCCCTCAGTGCTGATGATCTGCGTCCTGCGGGTGGGCCCTGAGGCTCAGCGAGGCGAAGCCTGAGGCCACACAGCCATTGTGTGCTAGAGCCTGGTTTTGAATTTGAGCCTGACTCCAGTGTCTGGCCCCTAACCGTGTAACTACACTGCCCACCCTGAACACTCGGTAGACGGGGGTGAGGAAGCCATGGGGGGCGTGCGTCACGAGGGGCTTCACTGTTGCTCGTCCCCGTCGGACCGCCTTGCAGAGCGTCCAGCAGAACGGCTCCATCTACATCCACGCCTACTTCACCAAGAGCGGCTTCCACCCGGACCCCCGGCAGAAGGCGCTGTACCGCCGGCTCGCCACGGTCCACACGTCCCGGAGTAAGTCCCTCTCCGTCCTGGGGCCCCCATGGTGCCGCGGGCCTGGACTCCCAGGTCCACGAGGGCAGGCAGGAACCCTGTGCTCAGGGAGGCTGGGGGTGGTGGCCGGGCTCGAACCCCATGTACCCTGCATGCCTCTGGACACCCGTGGGCAGGCAGGAGAGGAATCGGCTTAGAAAGAGCAGGTGGAGAAAGGGACTTCCAAGAAGAGGAAGGGCGAGGCCGGCATGTGCACGGTACCGGGCCTGGTAGAGCAGACACTCCAGAATAGCCTGTGAGAGAACGATGGCTAGATTAAATGAGCAGAGGGAGACTGGAGGCCCTTTGCCATTAGTTGCATCCGGTGTGCTCTCCGTGATTGCATCTGTGTCGGCTGCTCCTGGAATGGGTGCTGCCCAGTGACCGCCCTGGGGGCTCCTACGGGGCCGTGCGAGGCTCCCAGGCTGCGGGTTTGAATGTGTCCTGCATGGCTGCGCTGTGAGCCTCCGCCCCCGCACGCACACCTCTGAGTAAGGCCTCCCTTGACGAGGCAAGCTGGTGAGGGCCACGTCACCAGACAGGCCCCGTTCTCACCTCGCTGGCCACCCTCCTGGTGCCCCCCTGAGAATCCTGATTGGGTGAGCAAACCGCAGGACTGCCGGTGACCCCCAAGAAGCCCTGGGTCAGAACTGTGGCCATTTGGGACTTCTGACACGGCCTCATTTTGAAACAGATTCTCTCTGCCCAGGGCATCTTCTTTAAAAAAATTTTTTTGAAATCTCTTGTTATAAGTGCATGGTTTAAAATTCAAGTAATTTAACCAGACAGCGACACTCATCTGTCTCCTGCTCTCCCCATCTTGTGTTCCCCCATTTTCCACTCCCCACAGGCAACTGCTTTAGCTGTTTCTGCTACTTAATCTCCAAGGCTCCCAATAATAAGATGATAATGCAATTTCTTGGTTTTTCAGTTTTGACATTATCTCTTGACTTCCTACTCTGGAAGAGGAAATCTCAACTCAGGAGCATAGTTTGATTAGACTCATGTTCGGCATTCAGATGGTTTTGATCTCAACTCGGGAGCATAGTTTGATTAGACTCATGTTTGGCATTCAGATGGTTTGGGGTATGAGACTCCTCTTCCCATCTGAACCATGTGGTGTGTGTAGTTTATTTTTCCTTTCCTGTCCAACATCTCCTTTTCCATGAGGTTAATAATTGTTGGCATTTTTTTTGCCTGCCCTTCGTGTCTTTTGTCCTTGAGTCCACTGTCTCCTGATCGGCAGCTGTGGGACTCTCTCGCTGCACTTCAGTTTCAGCAGATCTAGAGAACAGACAGCCCTCCACACCCCCCCCTCCCAAAAGCCCCGCGTTCCCTTCATGTGAATTTTGCGTGCCCCACCTCACTTTGATTCTACTGCGCCTGTGGACTTGGTTAAGATCCCTGTGGCTGTTTTGTGTGGCGCAGGGACAGATGTGCTTTAATTTGCACGGGTTAGGTCTTTTCCTACCTCTTCTGGTATAAAAATAACCCAAAGGATGAGAATTTTTTTTGTGACCATCTACACTGGATGAAACAAAACTCTAGTGACTGTATGTCAGTACCCAAAGCTGATTTGGAAAAGTTCCCCAGGTGTGCTAAGCGCTGTTCTAAGCAAGTATGTCTGCGGACCGTGCTCTGTAGGGCGTTCCGCCCGGCTGGCTGGCTGGCTGGCTGGCTTCCATGGAGCGCATCTGCGAAGCTGTGGGCAGAGGCGGGCTGAGGGGCGTGGCCTGCAGGGGCCATCCCCACGGAGGTGTCCCCGAAAGTCTGGGTTACATGTGCCTGACACTTCAGAGGTTGCTTTGAATGTGACCCAGGTGGGCGGCTGCTTGCTTGCGTCCCAGTTACACTGATCAGCCATGCTCAATGCCAGCATCTTTTGTGGTTTCGTCTCTGGTGAATGTGATCCATGTCACTGTGTGGTGAGGTCGTGTTCATGGTCAGCGTGACAGATGTTGGTGCGGTCTGCAAAATAGAATCTGCAGCCTGTGGACCTGGGAAACCACCAGGATCCCCCAGGCTTGCCTCACACCTGGGCCCCCTTAGGGCAGGGGCTTGAAGGGACACGGAGCTGGCCACCGGCCCACTCCAGGGCATAGAGCGAGAGTGTGGGATCAGAAGAGCCCCCTCCTCCCTTCCCCAAAGGGCCAGTGATCAGCACCCTAGCACAGTACTGTCCCAGAGGGATACAGTACCCGCCACAGAAGGCATTGTAAGTTTTCTAAGTGGCCACGTTAAAAAAAAAAAAAAAAGGCCATAAAATGAATGTTAGTAATTTATTGAGGTCAACGTGTTGTCATTTCAACATGTAATCAGTATAAAAAAATTAACGAGGTACTTTCACTCTTCTTTCTCCTGCACTAATTTTCAAATTCCAGTGTGTATTTTGCACTCACAGCACATTTCAGTTTCAACCAGCCACATTGTCAGTGCTCAGGGTGTAGTTTAACTCCAAGAAAAGGGGGCTTCTTCCTCCCTACGGAAGCCAGGTCCATCTCATATCATAACCCCATCTGGATGCCACCAAGTTGCAGAACGTTCTCCACCTGAGCCAGAGCCTCTCGCCTCTGGGGCTGGCAGGGCACGGTCCCTCCCTTCCCTGGACAGCCTCTCATGGGTGTGACAGCAGCGGAGCATGTCCCCGGGGAATTTATTCTCCAGGATGCCCACCCTTGGGTGTTTACTGCTTTCCCCTGATGTGGGAGCAAGGTCTCAAATGCGTTAATTGTGATAGAAGTGATGGGATGATATTCATGGAAACTGTAAGAGCAGCTGCCCCCCCCCCCCCCCTGGCTGAAACCCTGAGTCAATTCCCAGAAGTGGTTTTGAACTTGAGCTCATCCATAGAATCCAGAAGCCCCTGGTTCTGAGCGGGTGGGAGGGATCTGGGCCCTGTGGCGTGTGTCAGTGTGACATGCAGGGGTGCTCTGCCGGCTGAGCTCTGTAGAGCAGAGAGCCACTTCGCAGTGGTCCTGCCCAGAAGAGGCGAGGCTTTAATCCCCATTCTCCAGAGGGGGGACTGAGGCCCGGGAAGGTGATGGAGCTCACCAACGTCCCTCAGTTCATGGGAGACAGAGCCAGGAGGTGACCCCAGGGCCCCCACTCTTGGCCAGCTCCCTCTTCCATTTCCCCATCTCTCCCTAGCACCTGGGGGCAGGATGGAGAAATCACGGGAGGGACAGGCCATGTGTTGTCCCAGCATAAGGGGGAGCTGAAGTGTTACCCAGACCCGGGTGGAGGTGGGGAGATGGAGCATGAACAAGCACCAGCCCTGTCCTCCTGGCGTGTCTTGGCAGGGTTTGGGGGCAGCGTGGCAGGGAGCCCGTGGCTGACCTGGCCTCTGCAAGAGGAAGTGAGGTCCACTCCTGCCCGGGGATTCACAGCCCCAAAGTATTTCTCGCGTTGGCGGCTCTGGGCCTTCTCCGGCCCTGTCTCGGCACACCTGTTCATGTTTATCAATGCTGCTGTTCGTCACTGGGGGGGGATACGGCAGGGCTCAAAACGGGCCCGGCCCCACCTGGGGTTTGCAGACTGGTTGAGGGGGCAGACAGCAAACAAGTAAACCAGTGGGCAGGTGAACCAGTGGGTCATGATGAACTGTGGTGAAGGAAACAGAAATGGCGAGGAGCCCGCCCGGGCTCCGGGAGCCGCCTTCAGTGGAGTGGACGGAAGGGACATTTAACCAGGGGCTGGAAGGGGGAGAAGGAGCCAACCAGGAAGATCCCAGCCACGCTGGATCCCTGCCGGGGTGGCGCAGCAGCACGCCTGCAGGCTCAAGGTCGGCGCATTTGAGGAGGAAGGAGTGGGGTGCGCAAAGATGAGAGGTGGCGAGGGCTGAGGTTGGTGGGGCCGTGGTGAGCACGTCAGGGGCCCTGCCCGGGGCAGCGGGAGCTGTCTAGGATTCTGAGGCAGTGGGGTGACTCGATCAGTTACTTGGATCTTAGGGGCAAGAGTGGCCACTGGGAGGCCAGTGAGGAGGTGACTGCAGTCATCCAGGAGGGGGCGACATGGCCGGCCTGGGGTGGGGCTCTGGAGGTGGGAGGCAGTGGTCATATCTGAGGCATGTGCGGGAGGGGCCATTCACCCGGGGTGGGCTGATGGAACAGATGCAGCAAATCCTGGAGGAGGAGACCCCTGGGGCAATTTGGTGGATGCCGGTGCCACTGTAAAGATGGGGAACCTGGGGCCGGGGTGAGATTTGAGAAGGCAGTGCAGGCTTTCTGGTTGCCGTTATCGTCGGCTGGTGGGTGGAAGAGTGGGAGCCGGGAACCGGGTGGGCCGGGGCCTGGGGCCTGGGGCCTGGGGCCCGCGAGTGCCAGCAGGTCTCACATCCGCCCCCCTTCCCTGCCTCCTCACCCTCAGTGATCAACAAATACAAGCGCCGGCGGTTTCAGAAAACCAAGAACCTGTTGACGGGAGAGACGGAAGCTGACCCAGAAATGATCAAGGTAAACACGAGCAGAGCCGTCCAGTTCTGGGGTGCCGTCCGGCCCGTTCCCAGCCCAGCAGCCGGACCACGGGGTTGTCTTCTGACACCACCACTGAGCAGCTGGGGGCTTTCACCTCTCTGAGCCTCAGTTTCCCTCCCTGGAAACTGGGTTAGAACGTAGAGCTAGCGCTCAGGGAGTGGGGGCGCTGCCGGCACGGCTACAGCTGACCTCCAGCAGTGGCAGGGCGGGTGCTCTGTGCGCCGTACACGCACCCACCTGGAAGCGTCGCGCCAGCCCTGTTGGGTGAGTCCCGTCACAAGGAGACTTACACGAGGTATCACAGCCAGGAAGTGGCAGGGCTGGGATTCACACCCAAGCAGCCGGGCCCCAGAGCCCGGGCTCGGCCCGGCACAGATGAGGTGCCTGCTAGCATTGGCTCTAGAAGGGATACTCCTGATTCATCCAGGGACATTAACCCGTGGTGGCACCAGGAGCCTTCCTCTCTCCACGAGGTGGTTCCAGGCGGGAGGGCGGCCCCTGAGCATGGAGGCTGCGTGCAGGTCCCACACTTGTGCGGTCGTGAGGCTGTACTTTGCAGCCTGGTGCGCCGTCCCATCCAGATGGGCAGGCCTGGGTTTTCTGCTCCATCAGGTGGCTGGGGGGAGCCAGGGCAGCGGGGTCTAGAGGCTGGCGCGGGGACTGGCCAGCGTGAGCCCTCTGCCAGCGGTCGCTGTGGTGGTTGCTCTTCTGCTGTCGCGACTGTCACGGGAGTCCTCAGGAGGAAGCGGGCGGGTGCCTCTGAGACCCACCACCCCCTGTCTCCCCTCAGAGGGCTGAGGATTACGGGCCTGTGGAGGTGATCTCCCACTGGCACCCCAACATCACCATCAACATTGTGGACGACCACACGCCGTGGGTGAAGGGCAGCGTGCCTCCTCCCCTGGACCAGTGTGAGCCCCCGGCCACCCGCTCGGGCTCCTGACCAGGCCATTTTCTTGTCTCCTGGCCCCACCCCAAGCCCGAGATCTCTGACTAGGTCTCCACCCTCCCAAGCTTCCTGCCCCGCCCCTCTAGACACTCCTCTTTCTCTCCCTCCCACACCCCCTGGTGACCCCAGCCCTGATCACCTTGTGTCCAAACTGGTCTCGTCCAGCTATGAGCTTTTTTCGGAAAAGGTGCATCCGTTGCCAGCCTTGGAAATTGGGGCAGCATCACTTAGGAACCCAGGTTTCTGACTTCTTTTACTAAAGCCTGGCGAGTGGAGAGCCTCGGGGCAGCCACAGTCTGGAGCTGAGCTGCAGCTGTCCCCTTCAGCCAGGGCCTACCCAGCCCTCCCTAGCCTGCCCTCTCCCTGACTCCTTGGCACAGCCCAGAAATGTTCCCTGTGCCCCAGTCTCTGTCCCAGGGGCCCCACTGGGTCCCTGCAAACATCCGGATTTGACACCTTTGTCCTCGGAGGCTGAGGGGTCTCCCCACCCCCGTGGGTGCCTGTGGCCTCTGGTCCAGGCTGAGCGGTAACCCCTGCCCCGTGTGCCTACAGATGTGAAGTTTGATGCCGTGAGCGGTGACTACTACCCCATCATCTACTTCAACGACTACTGGAACCTGCAGAAGGACTACTACCCCATCAACGAGAGTCTGGCCAGCCTGCCCCTCCGCGTCTCCTTCTGCCCGCTCTCGCTCTGGCGCTGGCAGCTCTACGCCGCCCAGAGCACCAAGTCGCCCTGGAACTTCCTGGGCGACGAGCTGTACGAGCAGTCAGATGAGGAGCAGGACTCGGTGAAGGTGGGGGGGGGTGGCGGGAGGCTCCCAGCCCCTTCCTGGCTGCAGGAGGGGAAGGGGAAGTGGGCCAGGCCGACGGCCTGGGGGCTGCGAGCGGATGCTCCCCTGCCCACAGTTTCACAACCTCCCAGCCGCCCTCCCTGCAGTGGGCAGGAAACAGGCACTCGGCCCTCTGGCTCTGCCTGACTCTGGGGGTCCTGCCTCTGAGGCTTCCACGGTCCTCCTTTTTTTTTTTTTAAATTTATTTACTTATTTTTGGCTGCGTTGGGTCTTCACTGTTGCTCATGGGCTTTTTCTAGTTGCAGTGACCGGGGGCTACTCTTCGTTGCGGTGCGCGGGCTTCTCATTGTAGTGGCTTCTCTTGTTGCGGAGCACAGGCTCAGTAGTTGTGGCTCACGGGCTCTAGAGCGCCGGCTCAGTAGTTGTGGCTCAGGGGCTTATTTGCTCTGCAGCATGTGGGATCGAACCCGTGTCCCCTGCATTGGCAGGCGGACTCTCAACCACTGTGCCACCAGGGAAGTATTTGCTCTGCAGCATGTGGGACCGAACCCGTGTCCCCTGCATTGGCAGGCGGACTCTCAACCACTGTGCCACCAGGGAAGTCCCCATGGTCCTCCTTGTCACGGCTTTTCTGTTTGCAAGGCCCGGCCCTCCGGGTCTGGATCTACCCCTCCCTGCTTCTTCGGCCCCATGTTCTGCCTGCCTGACTTTGGGCTCTGACTCTCTGTGTCTGCTCCCTCTCACTGTGTCCTTGAATATCATTCTTCTCTGCCTGTGTCTGTCTTGTTGAGCCTGGTCTGCGCTTGCCCGGGGCTGTCTTTGGTGTTGGGTTTCTGTCCCTGGCTCTGACTCCCTTCATCTCCCTCAGCTATTTCTCTGCCTACCCCCATCACTGTCTGCCCATCTCTCCTCTGTCTCCACCTTTCTCCCTCCCTCTCCGTGCATCCCTCGCCCGCCTCTCTGGGCCCGTCTCTGACCTGCTCTCCTCCCGGCCAGCACTACACCCCGCTGGGGAGCCTTGGCGTCAGGTCTGGGGAACATCAGCAGGTTCTTCCAGGGCCCAGAGCAAGGAGAGATGGGTCGGCTGATGAGAGCACTGCAGCGGTCAGCCCCCGGCCTGGGCACGGCAGCGCTTACAGCATCTCCCCCACCCCCACCCCAGGTTGCCCTCCTGGAGACCAACCCCTACCTGCTGGCGCTCACCATCATCGTGTCCATTGTCCACAGTGTCTTTGAGTTCCTGGCCTTCAAGAACGGTAAGGGTGCGACCCCGGGCCCTGTGAGAGGCCGTGGGGGACTGGGGACAAGGGGGTGTGTGGTGGGAGGATAGGGCCTGCTCCTTCCCTCTTCCTCTTGGGCCCTCCCCCTACCTGGGGCCTGTCAGCCCCACTCTCCAGAGGCCTGGTGAGCAGCAGCCAACTCCCAGCCCAGAAACTCCCATCTACCGGGCGTGGTGCTGGGGGAGGGGATGGGCCCGGTGTTCTGGCAAAGGCCAGGACAGCGCCGCCAGGAAGCAGGGCCGGGGAACTCCAAGGCCGGGAGCAGGGAAGCCCCAGAGCCGCTTCTGCCGCCCTGCCCGGCAGGCCGCCTGTTGGGAAAGACCCCTCGGGTTGAGTGGACAGGGCCCACCTGAGTGGGAAAGTGACAGCCCTGTCCCAGAGGGCCCCGAGGGTCCAAAGGCCAGCAGTGGTGATGGCCAGCGTTTGAGGGGCACTGGCCACATGCCAGGCACGGTTGGAGCCCTGCAGCCACAGCCCCGTGAGGAAGCGTCGTTAGCCCACTATCATAGCAAAGGACCCGGAGGCTTGGGGAGGTTGGTTACTGGCCCACAGTCACACAGCTCCCAAGTGGCAAGGCCAGGATTTAGATCCAGGCAGCCTTCTCCAGCCCCCACCTCGTACTCCAGGCCCTGCTGGCCACTTCTTCCTTGTCCTAGAGAACCCTGGTCTGAAGGAGGCCTGCTGCTCTGCAGCCTCTGGAAGTGGCAGTAGTAATGGGTATTATTGTTATCATCATCATTCTTATTAAGAGGACATTGCCATGATTGAGTTACCTTCTGGAAAATTATGACATCAAAACCAAACAGTAAGTGGTGCTCACCCCAGTAGGGAGGCGTGTGTTAGCCGTGGTACGTGGAGCCCTGGCTGTGCCAGGTGGGCACATGCTTGCAAACGCTCTTGCTGACGGCAAGCTGGGTCCCCTAGGGTCCCTTTTTTCCTAATGACAGATGAAGGCACAGAGGGGGTGGTTACTTGCTCAGGGTCACAGAGCAAGGGCATGGGCCCTGGGCGAGCCCGACCTTACACCCCGTGCTTGCTGCCTCTCTGCTCTGAGGCAGCACTCGGATCCACCCACCCCCACCAGAACCCTGTCTTCAGATGCATTCTTCCCAGTTAGGATTGGGCGGGCTCCTGTGAGTGTCCCCTTCATATCTCCTCAGGGTCTGATGGTTTGAAGGGAGAGGTGTAAGCCTACCGGGTGTGCTGGAGCTCTGGAATCAGAGTCAGAGCCGGGGTGGGGGGGGGTGGCCAGCACCCGGGTCTCGCCCCTGTGTGACCTCGGGCACGGCTTCTCGCCTGGAAGACGGGCATCGTGCTGGGTCGGCCTGCTGTGGCAGCAGGTGTTGGACACACAGTCCAGGCAGAGTCCAGTGGCCCCGTTTTCCTCGTCTGGCCGATGGGAAGACCAGGGCTGGGAAAGGAGCCGAGCTGGGCCCTGGGGTGGGTGGCGGGGGCCCGGGAGAGTAGTACTGGAAGAAGCTGTGGTTGGAGAGCAGAGCCCGTGGCCCCTGTGCATGTTCTGAGCGCGTCTGTGGGCCGGTCCCGTTTTTTTTTTTTTTTTTGGCCACACCTCACGGCATGCGGGATCTTAGTGCCCTGACCAGGGATTAAACCCACGCCCACTGCAGTGGAAGCGTGGAGTCTTAACCGCTGGACCGCCAGGGAATGTGGGCTGGTTCCTTCACAGGTTCGGGGTGGTGGGCTGGAAGAGGCGGTCTTGAAGTGCATGGCCCAGACCTTCCCACCCAGCAGAGGCGCCACGGTGCCATGGCGGACAGCTCAAGTCTGTTGTCACACAGACCCGGCTTCCATTGCAGATTCTCCCAGGTCAGGCTGTGTGGCCTTAGGGATGTGGCACTTAGTGATTGGGGAGCACCGGCACATGGCAGCAGTCACCGCCACCGTCACTGCCAGTCAAGGGACTGACCGCACCCTGGGGGGCAGGGTGTGTCCAGTGTGAGACTGCAGAGATCCTGCCTGCCTGGGGCTCCGGCTGGCGCCTGTGGAGCCAGACTCTCACCGCAAGGGGGAGTAGTGTGCACCCTCCTCCCGTGGCAGACCCAGCGCTGCCCCGGGGGTGTGAGGAGGACGGGGCTTGAGGGAGCTCGGGGACTCGGGGGCTCCTCACCCTCCTAGCTTCCTCCCCAACTCCTGTGCGCAGATATCCAGTTCTGGAACAGCCGGCAGTCCTTGGAGGGCCTGTCCGTGCGCTCCGTCTTCTTTGGCGTCTTCCAGTCTTTCGTGGTCCTCCTCTATATCCTGGACAACGAGACCAACTTCGTGGTCCAGGTCAGCGTCTTCATCGGGGTCCTCATCGACCTCTGGAAGATCACCAAGGTCATGGATGTCCGGGTAAGGCCAGGCTGCCATGCTGTTTCAGAAGCTGCCCGGGGGTGGGAGCGGGGTCGTGTGGCCCAGCCAGACCCTGGAGCTGGCCCCTAGGGGATTCCCAACGCCTGCCACACTCCCAAGACCAAGGGGATTTTCGCACCAGGGGATTTTTCGGGTCACACATGGGTCAGGGGAACTGGGAACGGTGGGGAAGGGCGGGAGCTGGAACTGGCTTGGGGGACAGGAGCCAGCGTGGCAGCTGACTGCAGCCTCCCTCCCTGTCCGCAGCTGGACCGGGAGCACAAGGTGGCAGGACTCTTCCCCCGCCCAACCTTCAAAGACAAGTCAACATACGTTGAGTCTTCGACCAAAGTGTATGACGACGTGAGTGTCCCCCACAGTGGGCCCCAGGGAGGGTCTCCGGGTAGCCACACGCTCCTGGGGGCTCAGGACACGGGCTGGGATGTCTGCCTGTTGGCTGACAGGCCCATGCTTCATGGCTTGCATCATACCCTCTAGTGTCCCCTGCTTGCCATATATCCTTCCTGGCCGAGTCCAGAGTTCCCGGGGCCACCTGGAAATTCCCCCGGGCTGGCCTGCCAGACCAGGTGTGGGTGTGTGAGGGCGGGGAGCAGGGGTGCCAAGTGGGGCCCAAGGAGCTGGGTCCCAGCCCCACCCTGTGCCCCACAGATGGCGTTCCGGTACCTGTCTTGGATCCTCTTCCCACTCCTGGGCTGCTATGCCGTCTACAGCCTCCTGTACCTGGAGCACAAGGGCTGGTACTCCTGGGTGCTCAGCATGCTCTATGGCTTCCTGCT